ACTTCAGGCATGATGAAGCCCCTGCAAGGCAAGGCCACGGCCTCCAGGGACCCAGCCAGCACTGATCCCAAGGCGGCCCTGGCAAAGCAGGGTGAAACCCTCGAGCCTGGCTACAGTGAGCACACAGCAGGCCCCTTTCCTGGCAGAACCCTGCTCCACATTCCCCCTTCTGCTGGACATCCCACCCAAACTGCACACGGGCTGGTCTGTCCCCAAGAGCACTAGAACAGGCTAGAGGGGAACTGCAGACAAGGAGATGCTGGGATTTCCTCCCCTGCAAGCCTCCTCAGCAAGCCAAGGCAGCCCAGGCTTGGGGCATTAGCGCAGCATGGTGTAAGGGAGACCCCCATGTGCAAAAATGAGCATCCCCTGCACAGACACATCAGCTGGGACTGGCTCCTGCTCCAGTTCTGCACTCCCAGCTCCACTGCCCCAAGCGCAGGAGCGTACCTGAGCTTCACCTGCCACCGGAACACTGTGTGGGGCCCACAGCCAGGATGGAGGCGAAGGAAGTTTGTGTCACTGCAAAGAAATGGGAAGCAAGTGAGAAAAGGCGAATAAAGCAGGAGCCCAGCCACAGCCAGGAGCTCTGCAGCAGCCCGGCCCCATCCAGAGGCACATTTGTACCTTGTCTGGAACACCAGTGTGAAGTCTTGTTCCCGGAACAACACTTTGGATGTCTCCTTGTGGATCTCCTTCACGTAGACGTGCACCACCACCAGGTCATTGCCCTTCTCATACGAGTCATTCTTGACAAAGGTCAGGCTCACAAAAGGCTCTGGCTCTGAGGAAAAGCCATGGAGAGAGATGTTATGTTCCTGGCACGCTGAGGCAGCACTAGAGGCTGACCCGGGAGAGGTCCCAGATGGACCTTCCTGACCAGGCTGACTCCTTGGTTCCAGCCACTCACCATCAGCTGCTGCTTCCAGAGCCACGTCATCCTTGGACCAGTCCCTCTTCTCACCGTCTCTGCCCAGGGGAGGGGTGGCCACTGGGACAGCCTTGGAGCTCTCTCCCAGCACGGGCGTGCAGTCCCGGCCCCGCAAGGCCTCAGCAGGGCTGCCTGGCTGCAGGACTCTCTTCTCCACACAGGTAGCAATGCAGTGGGGGAACACCTCTGTGGTAGCTGCAAGGGGTGGCATCTCCACGGGAACTGTCTCCTTGGCCAGCACCACAGCCTTTCAAGAGAGAGACACACACAATGACAAACAAACACTGTCACTCCTGAGCTGTGGGGGTCACCCCCTGCTCCCTCCATGCATCCCATGCTTAGCTCGGCTCCTTTAGTCCAGTCCTCACATTGTCCTCTCCTCCACCACAGCACCACCCGTGGCACCCCAAAGCCCATCTCATCAGCAGGGACGGGTCCCTGTGTGAGCAGCATCCCCTGCACAGGGGCTGAGGGTGCAGAGGTGTCCTCGGGTACCTTCTCCAGTGGCATGGTGAGGTCCGTGAGGGCTGAGGGCACCGCGCGCCCCCTGCCGTGGCGGCGTCTCCCAGCCCTCCCGCTGTGCCCTTTGCTGGGCTCCACGCTCCCAGTGACTCTGGCATTCGGCTCCTCTTCAGTGGGAGCCACTTTGAGGTAAACTGCCCGCTTGGCGCTGGGGCCGCTCTGCATCCCTGGGCTGGCTGGGCTCTTCCCTCCCAGGGCCTCGCTCCTTCCTGGAGCACGCTTGGGGTTGGAGGCTTCCCGCCGGGATCTCGGCAGCTCT